GGTACAAATCAGGATCAGCATAAAGAAGAGATGAATGGAGTGAGGTCTAGGAGTATTCCCATTGTAGAGCTTTAGTGTCCCAAAGTTGCATGCTACCATCCCACGTGTATCGGTGTCTTTCACCAACCAGGAAGCTCTTGAAACTTCTGTGTCCAGAGCCTTTATTGGCCTCGTTGCATAGTCATGATTGGGGTCTCATTTAAATATGTATGATTGATTAAATCATGTCCCCCTTTCTTCCTGAGGTTAGCTGACCAGGTGGCCTTTGTGACCTGGCCAGCCCCCCACTCATTTATACAAATCCTCAAGTGTTGTCTGGAGGTTTTAGATAATAAAGGCACCTTGGTTACTCAGGAAATTCCAAGGGTTCTCTCTCAGGAACCAAGGACAAAGGCCAAATTGAGTTCTTATTATCTTTTCCTTGGAAATATAAACTAGATTCCTCATAGTTAGGGCCAGACCATTAGTTACATGCTTATGTGTGTTTGAGCTGTTTTTTCTTATACCATAGAAGAGTTAGCTGTGTGTGCTGCAGTAAAGATAATCACACTTTCTACGGAGAGAGACAACATGTAACTTTATAAGAAAAGCATCTTGAAATTGAACGATCTAAGCATGGACTTAAGTTTCTTGAAATAATTACTATCACTGTAATATAGCTTTCTTTAGTTGTGTGGTGTGTTTAGGAACCTGGGTAGAGGTGAGATTTTATCCCACTTAAAAAAAAAAAAAAACAGACCAGTTGCTGTTGAGTCAATTCTGACTCAAGGCATCGCCGAGTTTCAGAGTAGAACTGAGCTTCATAGGGTTTTCAGTGGCTGATTTTTCAGAAGTACATCACCAGGTCTTTCTTCCGAGGTGCCTCTGGGTAGGCTCAAACTGCCAGCCTTTCGGTTAGTGAAGCGCTTAACTGTTTGCACCACTTAGGGTCTGTTTTATCCCATTTACCTTAGTAGTTGCTATTGAGGCAATTCCAACTTACGGCGACCCTACGTGTGCAGAGTAAACTGTACTCCAAAGGGTTTTCATGGTTATGACCTTTCAGAAGCAGACCGCCAGGCCTTTCTTCTGAGGTGCCTCTGGATGGGTTCAAACTGCCAACCTTTCAGGTAGTAACTGGGCGCTTAACCATTTGCATCAGCCAGAGACTCCTTTTATCCCACTAGGGAACAGTGTTTAATATTTCTGAGTGTCTTGCCCTTAATATGTCACTAAAATGCTTTGACTGTGTTTAGTACAGATAGTGCAGATGGGATTCAGTTTACTCTGTAGTCGATGACCGGAGCCTTTGTTTTTAGTTATTCTTGTGACCTGTCAGTTAGGAACTTGTTGGGATTTTTGGTGTTGGGAAACCAAGAATTGGGAGAGCACGTTGGATCTTAAGCACTTGAAAATTTGCTCTGTGTTAGGTACCAAAGATGGATGAAAGGATAAGACTCAGTGTCCACTTCAGAAGCTAGTCGGGGGCAAGACACGTGCAGAGTGTCCAGGTCCCTGCCTGAGGCGTGTGCAAGCAGTGAGGAGGCCCTGCCTGAGGCGTGTACAAGCAGTGAGGAAGCCCTGCCTGAGGTATGTGCAGGCAGTGAGGAGGTCCTGCCTGAGGCGTGTGCAAGCAGTGAGGAGGCCCTGCCTGAGGCGTGTACAAGCAGTGAGGAGGCCCTGCCTGAGGTATGTGCAGGCAGTGAGGAGGTCCTGCCTGAGGCGTGTGTAAGCAGTGAGGAGGCCCTGCCTGAGGCATGTACAAGCAGTGAGGAGGCCCTGCCTGAGGCGTGTACAAGCAGTGAGGAGAGGGAAGGACTAACTGGTGAGGAAAAGAGTTGGTGAGGAAAGCTTCACAGAGGAGTAGATGCTGAGCTGGGTTCTAAAAGATGAGTAGGTATTCTCACAGGGGACGCCAGAGAGGAGACATGGAGCCAAGGGCCAGGGCAGCTCAGTGGGGCTGCAGGTGGTTTTGTGCTTCACAGAGGTCAGGGATGGGTACAGGTGTGGGCAGGAGCCTGTCACTGGGTCCTTTGTTGCCATGCTACAGGACTGTGTTTTATCCCATATAGGAGGCCATTTCAAACATGGAAGAGACATGATTGGATCTGAACTTGCCCACTCTTGTCAGTTTGGAGTATACATGGAGAGGTTTGAGATTAGAGGTGAGACTGTCACAGCAGTCCAGGTGTAGGTCATGGGGCCTGAAGCAAGGCAGTGGCGTTGGGTATGGTGAACAGAAGACAGCTTTGAGAAGTAGTTACTAAAAACATGCAGTGTAGGGAGGGGGATTCCAGTCTATCATGAGTCTGGTATCTTGCAGAGGAGGATGGAGCTGGGGCACTGGAGGTGATGGAGCAGTTTTGGATGGTTGAGCCTGGGAGACTTCAGATGGAACTGACTTGTGGGCCTCTGGATCTCTCAGTTATTATTTGTGAAGCATTTTGTTACTGAAAACATTTTTAATGGAAAATTTCAAACCAACACAAAAGTAGAGAATAATATAACGGACTCTTAGGAATTCATACCTAAGCTTCTAATAATTATCAACTTTCTGTGATAGAAACATCTATGTTCAAATAGCCACCACAGCAATTTTAACTTCGTGTGCGACTTCCGCTCTTCTATTCCCTGGATAGTGCAGATGGTTGACATGCTGGGCTGCTAATCAAAGGGTTGGAGATTTGAGTTCACCCAGAGATGCCTCGGAAGAAAGGCCTGGTGATCTACTTCTGAAAAGTCAGTCATTGGAAACCCTATGACAATTCTGCTCTGATATACATGGGATCGCCATGAGTTGGAGTCAGTGCGATGACAGCTGGTTCACTTTTCTAGACCCAGTGACGTTTCTTTGAGCTTGGGGAATTGGGCTTAGACTCAGGCTCTGTAGACTGGAGTCTCCACATACCCCTGGAGGCTGAAGCCATGGAATCAACATGAGAAATCTTTCTGGAGTTGTGGTTTTATTGTGAAGGTTTTTATTTTTTTAGGGGAAGATGTTTACTAATTAGTAAGTAACACACTTTAATATTGAAACAAATATGAATATATTATGGAACTGAGTGCAGCTTTTGCATAAAATTTTAAGGCAGAAAATGAGACTTCCATAGTGTTCACCTGTGACCAGTGTGCAGTCAGCTTCAGACCAAGCACAAGGCCCAGGGCAGGAGGGGGTGCTTTGAAGGGATGTTTGAGATGTGTGGGCTCAGGAGATCTTTGAGGCTCCTTCGGCCCCATTTTTTCTGATATTGTCATGTTGACAGGGTAGACAGGCTGCAGAATCTTCATTGACTGTGAATGGCAAATGGAGAGGAAATGGGTTCTGCTGCCGTGCTCTGGCAGGTGGGTGGCTGGGCTTTATGTGTACTGAGCCGCAGACTTGCTTCAAAGACAGAACATTTCCATTTGCAGTCATTGTGGATTTATTTGTTAACTTGCAGTGTTTTTTTTTTCTCATCCTGGAAATACCCAGCAGATGCATTTTGCCTTTCTTTGTAAATTAAATAGCAGTTTGGCTTTAGCTTCTGTTTTAAGCATGTAGTTGTAATTTTCACACACAGAAACTCGACTGTGCTGAGGTAGAGAGTGCATGGCTGATGTTGGAAGAAAATTTTTGTGAGTTAGCCAAAATTTGTGGTATGCTGTAGGAGCTGTATTTAGGGAGAAATATATAGCTCTAAACACTTGGGGTAGGCAAAGATTTCTTAAGTACAGCACCAAAAACACAATCCGTAAGAGAAAAAAATTGATGAATTAGACTTCATCAAAGTTCTTCAGAAGACACGAGGGAATAAAAAGAAAAGGCACAGATTGGAAGAAAATATTTGTAAAGCGTGTATCTGATGAAGGACTTGTATTCAGAATATATAAAAAAAAAAATCCCAAAACTTAGTAATAAGGGAAGAAATATACCAAGTGTTGTGAAGATGTGGAGGAACTGAGACTCTCATACACAGCTGCTGGAATGTAGAATGATACAACCGCTTTGGAAAACAGTTTGGCAGTTTCTTAAAAAGTTAAATATATACCTACCATGTGATCCAACCATTCCATTCCTAGAGACAAGAAGGCATGTGTTCACACAAAAACTTGGACATGAATGTTCATAGCAGCTTTATTTGTAAACAATCCACAAGTTCCTCAAGTGAGTGGATAAGCAAACTATGATAGATCAGTAAATGGAATACTACTCAGCAATGAAAAAGAATGAACCATTAATGGACATTATAACATGGATCACTCAAAAACATTATACTGAGTGAAAGAAACCAGACAAAAAGGCTATATGCTGTATGATTCCATTTCTGTCAAATTCTAGAAAAGGTGAAACTAAAGTGGTAGAAAGCAAATCAGTGGTTGTCTGGTGCTGGAGGGAGGGATTACAAGGGGCACATGCCTGTGCTAATGGTTTTACAGTGCCTGCATAGTCAAAACTTAGAAAATTATACACTTTAAATATATAGTGTATTCCAAGGTCAAGAACGGAGAGGGTTGACATGTCGTGGGGTTGTTAACCAACATCATAAAACACTATATGTACCAACTATTTAATGAGAAACTATTCTGTAAACCTCCATCTAAAGTACAATTAAAAAAAATTTTTTTAGAGAAAACATATAGTGTATTGTATATCTGTTATACCTCAATAAAGCTGTTAAAAAAAATTAATGATTAATACTTTGATGAGCATTTAATGTACTTTGCTTCATATGGTTGGCTCTCCCCATTATCCTGTTAATAGGTAGAATTAGTGATTACAGGTGAGAAAGTGAGGCTGAGGGGAGGCTACCTGTCATAGCCAAGCTCACTCAGCTGGTTGGTTGCAGACCAGGGTGTGCATGGCTTGGGGGTGTGTCTGGTGCGGGTTCTCCACACCTAGTCCTGTATTGGAAGAGTCTCCCATTTTCCTCTATTCCTTTGGGAAACTAACTTCTTTGTGTCCTCTTACTGTTTTCCTCCACCAGCATTAGCAGGAAACAGGTGCTGAGTGATTTGGAACTTGTGTGTGATGTTTTCCCTAGGGCACAGTCTTTTGCGGAGCGCCTGCGCCTGGGGATAGCTGTGATTCATGGGGAAGCACAGGATGCTGAGTCCGACCTGGTGGATGGGAGGCACTCCCCGCCCATGGTCAGGAACGCCGCTGCCATCCACCCAAGCCTGGAGATCCCCCGTGAGTGCACCACCCGGCTCCACCTTATCTATGCTGCTTTTTCGTTGGGCCTAATGCTGGCTTCATTTCGTTTTTCTTTTTAAATGTAAACTTGTCTTGTGTTTTCTAACTGGCCCAAACTGATGGCACCTTTCCTGGCTGGTGTAGTGAGTACCCCTTGGATGGCCTGGGAGTGGTGCGGAACTCCGAACAACAGTGTGTTCAGTCATGGCAGGAGTGATGACATGTCCAGACTGTTGTGACCCAGTGACAGCACTTGAGAGACCATCTGTCGATTGACTTTCCTTCTCTCTTTCATTTGCTCCCTCATTTATTCATTCATTCCCTCAGTAATACATCCTAAAGGACAGTTGAACATAAGGAAAAGCTTTTATGCACAGTTATTCATGGTGGTGGTGTTTTTAATGAAAATTATTGGAAAAGTCTGTATGTTTTACCAGAGGGTACGGTTTGGTAAAATATATTATATTGGTACAATTCATTGTGCAGCCCTTTAAAATAATTAAAACTGTAAACGAGAAAATCTATGGAATATATGTGCATAAGGCAGGATACAAAATTGTATACTTGTCTTTGTCTGTGCAAGGACCAAGAGGGAATATGAAGAGTGAAAATAGTTATGGTATGAGCTGGTAGAATTATGCATGAATTTATTTTTGTTTTTAAGAAACTTCTTTCAAGCGTTAGTGACATCATTTCAAGTAAGAAAAATACTGTTTTTGTTTGGGTTCTTGGCTTTGCCTAGGAGTTTGCTCGCTTAGGAATAGAGGAGAAATTCAGAGGAGGTGTTGTAGTTGGGGTAGCCATGGCTAAGGAAGTGGTCATTGGTAATGTGGTCCCTGGCGTGTCCAGAAGGATCTGGAGGTCCTTGGAAGGACAAGATGGGGATAAGGTATGTAATACTCTGCAGACTGGGTAGAATTTTGAATTACTAGTACATATACCCAGATTATGAGTGCAGTTGTCAGCGGCTTCGAGTTGGGGAAAGTTGGCAAAAGGGGTGTTTTCAGAAGTCTTGTCCTGTGTGGTGTTGGGATAGATTGCAAGGAAGACTCACGTAGTGATCACTAGGGGACTTTTTTTGGAATGTATTATGGTTTTAATTTCACAGCTCCTAAATATTGAACCTTTTTTGCCCATTTGATGGTTTGGCACCCTATGTATAATGCTTGTTTAAGTTAATAGCAAATAGATGTATGAAGGGAAAAGAAAGCATTCCTGTAACATTTTAAATATAAAGATTTTGATAATATGAGATTTTAAAACTATTTCGTAGCCTCTGGTTTCTTACAGAAGAAAAAAATTGCCAACTAAAAAGGAGAACAATACTTTTCCAGAGTAGAAACACATTACGCGATTATTCAAAACATGGATAAGCATAGCAGGAAAATGGTACATGATGACCCAAAGATGCACTATTTCTATACTTTGCTGGGTGTCCTTCCATTCTTTCTATCTTATTTTGTCAGAGCCGAGGTCACTGCTAAATACATAATGTGAATCTTAGTGTGTCTCCCAACTCCATTAAATATCTTTTCCCAAGTCATTAAAAACTTTTGTCGCAGAATTTTTTGGCAGTCTAACATCCCATCTCTGGAGTGGCTTAGACTGCCCAGCCATTACCTGACTTGGGGTATTTTTGTTGTCGCCTGTCCTTTGCCAATATAACAAAAATAGGGCAACGAATATATTTGAGTAGAAGGTGTTTTCTGTACTCTGGCTTATTTCTTTGTAAGTTTCTAGAAGTGAGATTAGTGGCTCAAAAAGTATGACTATTTGTAAGACTCTTTATGTTGTCACCTTGATTTCCTAAAGGGCTGCACCAATAACGTACTCTTTTCACCAGCATTGGGAACAAGTGCCTGGGAACAGGAGTGTTGAAAATGTAAAAATTAATTCAGTTCTGGTGTTTATGTTGCTTTTTTTTGTTTTACCTTTTTTTCCCCACCCTCCAACCAGGATCCAGCCTGGGTTCATACATTACATTTGATTGCTGTGTGTCTTTAGTCTCTTTTAATCTAGAACCAAACGAAAAAAAAAAAAACCAAACCCACTGCCACTGAGTCGATTCTGATTCATAGCGACCCTGCAGGACAGAGTAGAACTGCCCCCATAGAGTTGCCAAGGCTGTAAATCTTTACGGAAGCCGACTGCCACATCTTTCTCCCTCTCAGTGGCTGGTGGGTGTGAACTAGCAGTCAGGTGCTTAACCACTGCACCACCAGGGCTCCTTTTTAATCTAGAACAGTGGTTCTCAATTGGGGTGGGGGTATTTTGCCCCTGGAGACATTTTGCACTGTCTGGAGACATTTTTGATTGTCACAACTGTAGGGGGTGCTATTGGCATCTAGTGGGTAGAGATAATGCTAAACATCCTACAATGCACAGGACAGCCCCCAAAAGAAAGAACTATCTATCTGGACTAAAATAACAGCAGTGCTAAGGTTGAGAATCCCTGATCTAGAACACTCCTTCCACTTCTTCTTTCTTCAATGACATTGACTTTTTAAAGGGTTTACTTTTTAGTGTAGAAACTTTGTGTTTGTTTTATTCTGATCAGTGCTGATTCCTAAAGAAAAGCCTCCAATCACAGTTGTTGGCGATGTCGGAGGAAGGATCGCCATCATTGTGGTATGTCAACCTATTATCATTACTCTTTTAGTATTTGCTGTTATTGTCCTGTTGATTTCTTGGTTACCTGTGTGCCTGTAAAGAGGCCTGTGGACACTGTATGGCCAGCTGACTCTCAGTTAAGTTGGTACATTTACTTTGGCCCAAAACTTGAAAAATACCATTAGTTTTTTTAAAAAAGTGGAAAATATGCAGTTAATGTTATTAATAATAACATGGGAAATTTTTTTTTGTTATAAAAGCAGATATAAAATTGATTATAACTGTTTAAAGTACACATCCTTTCACACTTTACAAAACCAGTACATGAAAAGAGTATATTTAATGTCTGTATGGTTTAAAGAATAATAGTATAATGAACACCTGGATACCCACCACACCTTAAGAATCAGAACGTTGCCTCCTCTGGGCTTGCTTTCTTTCGTTCTCCGCTCCACCCTCCAGGCTGTCACTAGCCTGAGCAATGTTCATTCCTGCTCGCTCTTGTCTTTATACTTTGCACACACGTATCTCTAAACACTGTTGTTTTGTTTTGCGTCTTTTGCTGTTTATAGAAATGAAGTCTTTATGTCCTTTGTGTCTTTTTTATTCCACATTGTTGAGATTATCTGCAATATGGCATGTAGTTGCAAGTTTTTCCTTTTCACTGCTGTCTGGTGTTCCATGGTACCACTGTTACACGATTTATTTATCTTTTCTGCAGGCATTGAACATAATCTTTTGCTCTTTCCAAATAATACTGCTTTGAACCTTTTTATATGTATTTTCTACTGCATATATGCAAGAGATTTTAGAATTGAGTCTGAAAGTACGCATTACAACTTTCCTAGGTAGTACCAAATTGTTTCCAAGTGGGCACCAGTTGGCCAGCCTCCCAGCGGCTTGGTGATTGTGTTTCAGTTTCTTTTAAGTTAGAAAATATGCCACATCATCCTGTAGGATAACAGCTGTACCACTTAGTTTATTCCTTAACTAACAAAATATGTAGTAAAAAAAAAAATGCTATGGATTCAGTGGCACTTTTTTTTCTTTCTTTCTATTACAACTACATTTAAAAAAAAAAAAACAGTTTTATTTTGAAGTAATCATAAATTCACAATGACAGGAACATGTGAACATGCCATCTCTCCAGGACCCTTTTACACAGCAGACTTGTCTTGGTATCATTAGTCAGATCCTTTTCTTTTCCCTGGTGGTCTACACCCGCCTTGGTAGAAGTGTTCCCGTGCCTTTTGTTCAGTCTGTAACTTGACAGGATGACATCATCGATGACGTTGACAGCTTTCTGGCTGCAGCAGAGACTCTGAAGGAAAGAGGGGCATATAAGATCTTCGTGATGGCGACCCATGGCCTGTTATCTTCAGATGCTCCGCGGCTAATTGAAGAATCCGCCATTGACGAGGTACCAGCCTGCGGGTAGCACATGCTGCCCTGGTGCTACAGAGGTCTGATCTGTAGTTAACAGAGACCAGAGAGGAAAGCAGGCAACTGGGGAGTTACAAATGACTTCGAAATGTGGGTTGTATTTGTGTGTCATTGAACCTAAGCCTTGTTCTTTTTTTTATTGTACTTTAGATGAAGGTTTACAGAACAAACTAGTTTCTCATTAAACAATTAGTACACATATTGTTTCATGATATTGGTTACTCCACAACATGTTAATACTCTCCCTTCTCGACTTTGGGTTCCCTGTTACCAGCTTTCCTGTCCCCTCCTGCCTTCTAGTCCTTGCCCCTGAGCTGGTGTGCCCCTTTAGTCTCATTTTGTTTTATGGGGCTGTCTAATCTTTGGCTGAAGGGTGAACCTCAGGAGTGACTTCATTACTGAGCTGGAAGGGTGTCCTGGGGCCATACTCGGCGGGTTTCTCCAGTCTCTGTCAGGCCAGTAAGTCTGGTCTTTTTTTGTGAGTTAGAGTTTTGTTCTACATTTTTCTCCAGCTCTGTCCAGGACCCTCTATTGTGATCCCTGTCAGAGCAGTCAGTGATGGTAGCTGGGCACCATCTAGTTGTGCTGGACTCAGTCTGATGGAGGCTGTGGTAGTTGTAAGTCCATTAGTCCTTTGGACTAATCTTTCCCTTGTGTCTTTGGTTTTCTTCATTCTCCTTTGCTCCAGATGGGGTGAGACCAGTGGAGTATCTTAGATGGCCACTCACAAACTTTTAAGACCCCAGACAGTACTCATCAAAATAGAATGTAGAACATTTTCTTTATAAACTATGTTATGCCAGTTGAGCTAGATGTTCCCCAGGACCATGGTCCTTACAGCCCTCAGCCCAGTAATTCAGTCTCTCTGGGAGTTTGGATGTGTCTGTGGAGCTTCCATGACCTTGCCTTGGAAAGTTGTTCTGGCTTCCCCAGTATTGTTTACTGCCTTACTCTTCACCAAAGTTACCACTTACCTATTGTTTATTTTTCCATCCTCAGCCCTCCGCTCCCTCGTATCCATGAAAGATTTTTTTCTTTCTGTGTGTAAACCTTTTCATGAGTTTTTACAGTAGTGGTCTCATACATTATTTGTTCTTTTGTGATTGACTTATTTCATTCAGCATAATACCCTCCAGATTCATCCATGTTGTGAGATGCTTCACAGATTCATCATTGTTCTTTATTGTTGTGTAGTACTCCATTGTGTGTATATACCATAGTTTGTTTATCCATTCATCTGTTGATGGGCACCTAAGTTGTTCCATCTTTTTGCTATTATGAACAATGCTGCGATGAACATGGATGTGCATATGGTATTTCTATTTCTAGCTTCCTAAGGAAGCGCCATATCGTTTTCCAGAATGGTTGTACCATTTTGCATTCCCACTAGCAGTGCATAAGAGTTCCAATCTTCCCGCATCCTCTCCAACATTTGTTATTTTCTGTTTTTTTTATTTGTTCCAGTAATGCCAAGGTCTAAGCGTTGTTCTTTTGCCCATGGTCACAGTTGAATAATCATGATAACTGTCATAGATGAACCCTTGCTCCATGCTAAGCACTCTGCCACGTGCTTTGCATACATCGTCACAACCTTCATCTCCCAGCCCGGGAAGGTTGAGGCTGTCACCCCTTTTGTAGAAACCAGTGAATAGTGGCTCAGAAGGATTAAGGAGCTTCTTGACATCAGATAGTTACTAAGGTGAGCATTTGATTCAAATCTCAGTTTGCTCATGACCGAGCCCAGTTCTTTCTATGCTACAGTTGCCCGTGGTGTCTGTTGGAAAGGAAGATAAAGGGGACGGTGCCACCTCTGGTTCTGTAGTGTGACAGAATTGAGGCCAGGCCAAAGAGGCAGCTTAAAGCAAATACAGCTTTAACTTGCCCTGCTTTGTCTAGCCCACTCGTTTCAGAAGGCAGCCCAGCATCGTGGAATTTTTATTGAATTAGTTACACTTTTAGTATCTCCTAAGAAATAGAGGTGGCTGTATTCGGAGACTGGAAGAACTGAATGGTACTGGGTACCACTACCGACCATTCTGATCAGGGCCACAATAGATGGACCCTGATTGAATGGGAGAAAAATGTGGAATAGAACCTCAGATTCCTTCAAAAAAACCAAAACCAGACTTACTGGACCAGTTAAGAGTGGAGGACTCCCCAAGACTATATGCCCTGCAATACTCTGTTTTGTTTTTTGAACATTTTATTATTATTTAGGAGCCCTGGTGACGCAGTGCTTAAGAGCTACAGCTGTTAACCAAAAGGTCAGCAGTTCAAATCCACCAACCGCTCCTTGGAAACCCTATGGGGTAGTTCTTCCCTTCCTGTAGGGTCCCTATGAGTCGGAACTGACTCGACGGCAGCAGGTTTGGTTTTTTTTTAATTAATTTATTTTTATTATTGTTTAGGTAAAAGTTCACAGAGCAAATTAGCTGCCCATTCAACAGTATATACACAGCTTGTTTCATGACATTTGTTGCAAACCCTTGAATGTGTCAGCACTCTCTCCACTTCCTCCCTGGGTTCCCCATGTCCATTCACCCAGCTTTCTTGCCCCTACCGTCCTTCTGAACTTTGCTTTTGGGCAGATGCCGCCCTTTAGGTCTCATATAATTGATTGTTCTGAGATATACATTCCTTGCTGGTATTATTGTTTGTTTTATAGGCCTTCTTATTGCATGGCTATAATGTGATCTTGGAGTGGTTTCAGATCCAAGTTGGAAGAGTGTTTAAGGGCCACGGCCTTGGGGGTTCCACCAGTCTCTGTAAGACCAGTAAGTCTGGTCTTATTTATAAGTTTGAATTTTGTTCTATATTTCTCTCCCACTCTATCCATGACCTACTGTTGCGTTCCTGGTCAGAGTGGTCGGTAGTGGTAGCCAGGCACCATCTAGTTCTTCTGGTCTCAGGCTAGTTCATGTGGTCCATTAGTCCTTTGGACTAATTATTTCCCTGGGTCTTTGGTTGTCTTCACTCTTCTTTGCTCCAAATGGGAAGAGACCAATTATTGTATGTTAGATGGCCGTTCACAAGTTTTTAAGACCCCAGTCGCTACTCACCAAGGTAGGATGTAGATCATTGTCTATATGGATTATGATATGCCGGTTGACCTAGACGTCCCCTGAGACTGTGGTCCCTAGCCCTCAAGCCCGGTATCTCAGTCCCAGGAGGTGTATGTTACGGCTAAGAAGTTTTCATGTCTGTGTCCCGTGTGTGCACTATTGCATACATGGTTATACTTGCAGCATGTACACATTTATATGTACATGAGTGTACTTCCATATGCCCTCCTACCCCTATTCAGCTTACATATCTATTTGTGTATCCACTCGTACATTATTGTTCATTATTACTGTTGTTGCAGGGTTGTATATGTATTAGTATTTACTGTTTTGCCTTTTACTCCTGTGTGCCTTTAAGTGTCTACCTTGATTATGTTGTGCTGACTTCCCCCATGTGGTGTATTCTCTCTCTCTTCACCAAAGTTAGTATGTGTCTACTGTGTAGTTACTGGTTTTCTCCCCCGCCCCATCCCTGGTAAACATCAAAGAATGTTTCTGTCTGTGTGAAAACCTTTTCTTTTTATAATATTGGTCTCATACAATATTTGTCCTTTTTGTGATTGAGTTATTTTACTCAGCATAATGTCGTCCAGTTTCATCCATGTTGTGAGGTGTTTTACGGATTCATTGTTATCCTTTAACGTTGCATAGTATTCCATTGTGTGTATGTACCACAGTTAGTGTATTCATTCATCCATTGATGGTCACTTAGACTGTTTCCATCTTTTTGCTGTTGTAAATAATGCTGTAGTGAACATGGGTGTGTGTATGTCTGTTTGTGTCACGGCTCTTATTTCTCTAGGATATATTCCTAGGAGTGGAATTGCTGGATCATATGATATTTCTATTTCTGGCTTCTTGAGGAAGCGCCATATTGTTTTCCACAGTGGTTGTACCATTTTACATTCCCACTAGCAGTGTATGAGAGTTCCAATCTCACCACAGCCTCTCCAGCATTTGTTATTTTCTGTTTTTTTGATGAGTTAGTTCATTATTAACCTGTATGAGATGGTATCTCATTGTAGTTTTGATTTGCATCTCTCTAATGACTGATGAGCGTGAGCATCGCTTCATGTATCTGTTGGCTGCCTGGATGTTGTCTTTCTTTGGTGAAGTGTCTGTTCATGTCCTTTGCCCTGTTTTTTTTTTTTACAAGCGAAAACATGTTTATTTGCTCCCAAAAAATAAAGGCATGATTTCTCATCAGAGTTGCTAAATTCACTTATTACTTCTAGTAGATTTTATTACATCCCTTAGGATTTTTTTTTTTAATTTTTTTTATTGTACTTTAGATGAAGGTTTACAGAACAAATCATTTCTCATTAAACAGTCAGTACACATATTGTTTTATGACATTGGTTAACAAACCCCACGACATGTCAACATTCTCCCTTCTGGACCTTGACCAGGAACGCAACAATATACATAGCCAAAGTTACACCATTTTGGAAGTTTCTACATGTACAATTCAGTGACATCGATTACGTTCTTCCAGTTGTGCTGCTATTCTCACTATCCTTTTCCAAATTATTCCATTACCGTTACCTTCAACTTACTGTCCCCTAGCTTCCCATCAAACCTTTTGCATTGCTGTTGTCAGTTTGATCTCACATAGATAATTCATTTATTTTTTCTTTGTACTTTAGATGAAGGTTTGCAGAACAAATAGTTTCTCATTAAACAGTTAGTACACATATTGCCCTCTGACAACCTTGGGTTCCCTATCATTAGCTTTCCTGTCCCCTCTTGCCTTCTAGTGCTTGTCCCTGGATTGCTGTGCCTCATTAGTCCTGTTTTGTATTATGAGGCTGTCCAATCCCCTCCTGAACGGTGAACTTCGGAAGTGACGTCACGATTGAGCTCAAAGGGTATCCGGGGGCCACACTCTCGGGGTTTCTCCGGTCTGTCAGACCAG